TGAAATGCGGGGGGCGGGTATGAGGGGTCAGATTTGGGGTGCCCTCCCACCTGCCATCACAGCGCATTACACACAGCTCAGGATCCAATCACAGATCTTTCTATGTGCGTCCAACATTCTCCCGTCACCATGGCACAGAGGTGTCAGCGCCGTAACTCGAACATTAATCAGCTGCCACCCGGCGTTTTCCGTGCCGGGACCCATTTCATCAGAATTATCGCAGTTTTCCCGCGTACAATGTCACATTTTCTCTGCGTCTGGTTTTTCTCAACATCATAAAAAGTCGGGAAAGTCATACCGGCCACGCCTGTTTTTACACTCACAAAATCCGCACGCCGTGACCCCTCCCACTGCTGCAGTCACACCGCCATCTATAGGCCGCCCTGGTTGTTTCCATGAAAAGGGAATACAGGTGATTTGTAAACGGCTCCCACGGGGTTTTTTTCCCGCTAAGTCGCTGCGTGTCGGAGGGTAATCAGGCGCGAGACGCCATTGATGACCCCACAGACTGTAACCAGGAGGACGGCCTGCGTGTTGCGTCGAGGATGCGTTTGTGTTGGTAGAAGGAGAAGCCCATCTCCCGGCTCCATGCACCTCGCCCCACCATGCAGCGCACTGCTAATGCGGACTGACAGATTGCGTGACACCCTATATCATTCTCTAAATGCAGATCGTCCGGGGGAGGGGGGGGGGGGGCAGAAGGGGCCCTTATGGAGGATTTACATAAAGTGATCCTTAATCCATTGTTTGGAAACGTTCAATATGTTACAGAATGTTAGCTACACCCAGCTCCCCTTCCTCCGCTCACTTCCCATCATGCTCTTCTCCAGGTCCTGCGCTGCGCGGCGGGCGCGGTTGGTAGGACGGCGCAATATTTTTATATTTTATTATTCTTATTACAGATATTTCTATAGTGCCAACAATTCACACACAGAGCATTCACAGCAGTCCCCGACCTTAGGAGCTTACAATCTATGGGTCCTAACTCACATACATACTAGGGCCAAGGAGCCAATGATCCTCCCAGCGTGTCTCTGGAGTGTGGGAGGAAACCGGCGTACCCACAGGGCAAGCATGCAAACTCCATGCCGATTGTGTCCCTGCTGAGGACTCTAAGAAAAGACAATGAGCTGCTTGTAAGACGCGTACTGCAGGCACTCCGTCCTCCATAGTCATTCTGAAGTACCGTAGTCTCATTTAGCTCGCTGCACTTTCCATTTATTTTATATTGCATTATATTAGAATTTATTTTTATTACGTACAGTATATATATATATCCTTCAGAAAGACTGAGCTTCATGGAAATGTTGACAATAAAAACATTGCTGTGACTGAGCTTCCTCCTCTGCAAGACCCGTGAGTGCCGCTCAACCAGTTTGGGATTTATATATATATATCAAATAAATTGAGGATACAAACTCCAATATGTAACAGTCTTTACTTCACTTATTTGTGTACATTACAATCCATATGGCATATCTATATATATATATACACATATATATATATATATATATATATATATATATATATATATATATATATATATAGTAATTGACACAAATTTTTGAAGTAAAGACTGTTGCACATTGGAGTTTGTATCCTCAATTTATTTGAGATATATATATTGCTGGATGTATGGGAGCCCAACGCTGATACAATCTCCTATTGCTTCTGAACTTGTACTGAGATCTACAAGGGAGTGACTCACCTTTGTTTATATATATATACAGTTGTGTTCAAAATATTAGCAGTGTGTTGAAAAAAGTGACTAAAGCTGAAAATCCTTCTAATCCTTTTATTTCCAGCCACACAAATGCATTGGGAACACGACACATTCTATTCCAAATCACAACATGAAGAAAAATACATCAAATTTGTGTTGTTCCTCTAATAAAATGGAAGAAAAGTGAATATTAGACGGTTCAAAAAAAATGGCCGTGTTTGTATTCTTCTTTACAAACTCCAACATTCACTATATAAACTGAGAAATGTTTGAAGATTTTGCTTTCCTTTGAATGACTTCATGAATATTTGGTTGTAGTCGCACTGTTTCTGAGAACTGCTGTACATCTGTGTTGCATGGAGTCCCCCAACTTCTGGCCCCTGTGATCAGGTATTCCAGCCCAGGATGATTGGACCACATTCCACAGTTCTTCTCTATTTCTTGGTTTGGCCTCAGAAACGCCATTTTTGATGTCACCCCACAAGTTTTCTATTGGATGAAGATCCGGGGATTGGGCTGGCCACTCCATAACGTCCATCTTGTTGGTCTGGAACCAAGATGTCGCACGTTTACTGGTGTGTTTGGGGTCGTTGTCTTGTTGGAACACCCATTTCAAGGGCATTTCCTCTTCAGCATAAGGCAGCATGACCTCTTCAAGTATTCTGATGTATTCAGACTGATCCATGATCCCTGGTATGCGATAAATAGGCCCAACACCATAGTATGAGAAACATCCCCATATCATGATGCTTGCACCACCATGCTTCACGGTCTTCACAGTGTACTGTGGCTTGAATTCAGTGTTTGGGGGCCGTCTGACAAACTGTCTCCGCCCACTAGACCCAAAAAGAACAATCTTACTTCCATCAGTCCACAAAATGTTGCGTCATTTCTCTTTAGGCCGGTCAATGTGCTCTTTGGCAGATTGTAGCCTCTTCAGCACACGTCTTTTTCCCAACAGTGGGACTTTGCGGGGACTTCTTGCAGATAGCTTTGCTTCACATCGGCGTCTTCTAATTGTAACAGTCCTCACAGGGAACGTCACACCTTCTTTCATCTTCCTGGAGCCGATTGTTGGCTGAGTCCTCACAGGGAACGTCACACCTTCTTTCATCTTCCTGGAGCTGATTGTTGGCTGAGTCCGCCCCATTTTGGCTATTCTTCTATCCATTCCAATGGTAGTTTTTTGCTTTCTTCCGCGTCTTTCAGGTTTTGGTTGCCATTTTTAAGCATTTGCCATCATTTTAGCTGAGCAGCCGATCATTTTCTGCACTTCTTTATATGTTTTCCCCTCCAATCAACTTTTTAATCAAGGTACGCTTTTCTTCTGAACAATGTCTGGAACGACCCATTTTCCTCAGAATTTCAGAGAGAAATGCACTGTAACCAGCATGTCCAACATTTGCTGCCTTCCTTCCTTAAATAAGGGCAATAATTGCCACCTGTTTATCAAAGAATGAATGACCTCACTAATAGAACTCCACACGGCTATTATTGTGAACACGCCCCTTTCAATGGGTGATTCAATGACACAGAATCAGCAGCATGCATGTCATGACTGTCGGGTCTGTTGGATTTCTATGACTCTACTACACCTGCTAGGAAATTATTTGCCATGTAGAGATATCATTTCCACCAAAAACAGAGATTGATCCGGTTAGTGATGTCTGACTGCTATTATTTTGAACACAAGTGTATATATATATTTTATTATATCATAAATGTAAAAATTGCAGCAGGTGCGCTCAGCGAGACTTACCACGGGATAGATTCTCCAACAGATTAATAGATATCAACGTTTTGGTGGTGCAGCCCCCCCTCGCTCATACATATAAATCATACATATAATATAATATAATATAAAATAAATATTTTAAATGTTAAGTATATTTATAAATGTCATATAAAGAAGATAATTATATATATATAAATATATATATATATATATATATAATATATATAATACATTGTATTATTATGATTATTATATTTATATTTTAATATTTATTTTATACTATAATATAAATCTATCTATCTATCTATCTATTATTTTTTTTTTCTATCTATCTATCTATCTATCTATCTATCTATCTATCTATCTATCTATCTATCTATCTATCTCTCTCTCTCTCTCTCTCTCTCATCTATACAAGTGTAATTCTTAGTTCAGTGGACCGCTGATATGCCCAGGCAGTGATGTCACCTCTCCCATTGGGTAATAATGACGTCACCCCTCCCATTTGGTGTCAGTGATGTCACTTCTATCACATGACTCGGTGTCGGTGAAGTTTGGGAGAAGTTTCTTTGTCTGTGAGGCCCACTCTATATACAAGGACACGTCTCCCCCATGCAGGCGCGGTCTTGCTGTGATTTCCGTCTATTAGGGGGAGTTTATTCCTGGGCACACACCTCTCAAGTGCGGACAATTTGCTCTAACAGAACCAATCTGTGTTGTATTGAGGGGACAGGAGGGACATTGCCGGATTCTCATAAACCAGCTGCTTTCTGCGGGTCAATAAGAGCCGCGCTCCCCCTCCCCCGTCCACCTCAATAGTTGCTCTCTCACCTCTCCCCGCACTGTCCGCACATGAGGACGCATACAGAATGCCCATTGCAGCCCCTGGCACTTTATCCTGCACCTCCGGGCTGCTAAATGACTTTGAGAAATGGATAATCGATTATCATCCAGCGCGCCCCCCTCCCCCGGCCTCTCCAGACGTACACAGCTCACACTCAGCGCGGATCCATTTCATCCCTCACAACTAAATCCAACACTTCGTAATTAAGCCGCCATCGCCTAATTGTACACATGTTGACAGAGGGCTTTGTTTAATCGGGGGATCAAAGGCGGATTTCCAACTTCAGCCACATCGCCCCCCCCATCCCCCACCCCTTCATTTCTCCCCGGAATCATCCTCATATAGGCCAATGTACAGATCTGTAGCATCACATCGAGGAATTAGAACAGAAAGGACAACTGCCACTTTTATATTCCTCTTATACTGCCCATCCCCCCACCAATCATTGTAACATCATCAAATTGTTACGGCTCTTACATTGATACATAGTTGCCTTACCTAGTTGCATCTTTGACATCGTTACATAGTTATATCTCATACATAGTTAGATTTGTTCTCACATAGTTACATTGTTAGATCTTTGATATAGTTACATAATTACATATCTTACATTGTTATATATTTTGTTAGTTATATCTCTTACATAGTTTCTTATATAGTTACATACACTATATTACCCCAAGTATTGGCCCCGCCCTCCCAATCATGTGATTCAGGTGTTCCAATCCCCTCCATATCATGTGATTCAGGTGCTCCAATGCCCTCCATATCATGTGATTCAGGTGCTCCAATGCCCTCCATATCACGTGATTCAGGTGTTCCAATCCCCTCCATATCATGTGATTCAGGTGTTCCAATCCCCTCCATATCATGTGATTCAGGTGTTCCAATCCCCTCCATATCATGTGATTCAGGTGTTCCAATCCCCTCCATATCATGTGATTCAGGTGTTCCAATGCCCTCCATATCATGTGATTCAGGTGCTCCAATGCCCTCCATATCATGTGATTCAGGTGTTCCAATCCCCTCCCAATCATGTGATTCAGGTGTTCCAATCCCCTCCATATCATGTGATTCAGGTGTTCCAATCCCCTCCATATCATGTGATTCAGGTGTTCCAATGCCCTCCATATCATGTGATTCAGGTGCTCCAATGCCCTCCATATCATGTGATTCAGGGGTTCCAATCCCCTCCATATCATGTGATTCAGGTGTTCCAATCCCCTCCATATCATGTGATTCAGGTTAACATTAACAGATGTAAAAAGATGTTCAATTGTTTACATCCGCAAGTCCATAGAAATACATGGAGATATACAGAACGCCCGTGTGAAAGAGGCGATACCATGGAAACTGGATCCACCAACCAACGAAGACCCTTATATATACACTATATTGCCACAAGTATTGGCCCCGCCCTCCCAATCATGTGATTCAGGTGTTCCAATCCCGTCCATATCATGTGATTCAGGGTCTCCAATCCCCTCCATATCATGTGATTCAGGTGCTCCAATCCCCTCCATGGACACAGGTGTATACAATCAAGCCCCTAGGCATGCAGACGGCTTCTACAAACATTGGTGAAAGAATGGTTCGCTCTCAGGAGCTCAGTGACTCCAAGCGTGGTCCCGTGATAGGTGGCCCCCTGGGCAATAAGTCCATCCGTGACATTTCCTGGCTACTAAATATTCCACCAATTGTTAGTGGGATTATAACAAAGTGGAAGCAACTGGGAACAACAGCCACTCAGCCACCAAGTGGTAGGCCAGGTCACATGACAGGGCGGGGTCAGCGCATGCTGAAGCGCACAGTGCGCAGAAGTCACCAACTGTCTGCAGAGTCAATAGCTAAAGACCTCCAAACTTGGTGTGGCCTTCAGATGAGCCCAACAACAGTGTGTAGAGAGCTTCATGGAATGGGTTTCCATGGCCGAGCAGCTGCATCCAAGCCTTCCATCACCAAGTGCAATGCAAAGCGTCAGATGGTGTAAAGCATGCCGCCACTGGACTCTAGAGCAGGAGAGACATGTTCTCTGGAGGGACCAATCACGCTTCTCTGTCTGGCAATCCGATGGACGTGTCTGGTGGTTGCCAGGAGTATGGTTTTTGCCTGACACAAATGCAGGATTTAGTTGCTATTTACAGGAGGTAAGTGCTCCAGGGCCTGAGAATTCGGAGGGTCCGTCTGCCTTCCTCTTTATTTCCCAGGTTTCTGCTCACATTCCGGACAATGAAAAGACAAATTCCTCTTCCTGGGCGTCTTTTTTCTGTTGTCTGAACTGCAGTTTCACTTTCACCAAATTTCAAATAAAAAGAGCTCTTCCAGAGATGTGCCTCCACCTCTCCTGCTTGCTGCCATCTCCGTCCCATTGAGAGGGTTTCCCGCACATTAGTCTACAGTGCAGGGGCGGACTGACAACTCATGGGGCCCCCGGGCAATAGGGATTATGGGGCCCCTGTGTCCTTGCCCAAACTCAAAAAAGCCTATGAAAAAGGTACCAGGGGCATCTCATGGGGCCCCCTACTGACCCTGGGCCCTCAGGCAGTGCCCGAGTTTCCAGATGGTCAGTCCGCCCCTGCTACAGTGTCACCAGAACAGGAAGTGAGGGAGATACAAACCCAACCGAGGCGCCAAAACCCGTCCGAGTTCTATCAACCAAATTGGAGAGTTTGGTTGGGAATCCTCAGAAGCTTACACCAGAATCCTGCGTAGTGATTGGCCCTGTTCTCTGTACAGCGCTGCGGTATATGTCAGAGCTATATAAATGTATAATAGTGTGTGACTGTGGGGGAGGGTACATTGGAGTGTAAGCTCCTCTGGTGCAGAGACTGATGTGACTGTGGGGGAGGGGACATTAGAGTGTCAGCTCCTCTGGTACAGAGACTGATGTGACTGTGGGGGAGGGGACATTAGAGTGTAAGCTCCTCTGGTACAGAGACTGATGTGACTGTGGGGGAGGGGACGTTAGAATGTAAGCTGCTCTGGTGCAGAGACTGATGTGACTGCGGGGGGGGGGGGGACAACAACATTAGAGTGTAAGCTCCTCTGGTACAGAGACTGATGTGACTGTGGGGGAGGGGACGTTAGAATGTAAGCTCCTCTGGTGCAGAGACTGATGTGACTGCGGGGGGGGGGGGGGGGGGGGGGGGGACAACAACATTAGAGTGTAAGCTCCTCTGGTACAGAGACTGATGTGACTGGGGGGGGGGGACATTAGAGCGTAAGCTCCTCTGGTGCAGAGACTGATGTGACTGTGGGGGAGGGGACATTACAGCGTAAGCTCCTCTGGTGCAGAGACTGATGTGACTGTGGGGGAGGGGACATTAGAGTGTAAGCTCCTCTGGTACAGAGACTGATGGGACTATGGGGGAGGGGACATTTAGAGCGTAAGCTCCTTTGGTACAGAGACTGATGTGACTGTGGGGGAGGGGACATTAGAGTGTAAGCTCCTCCGGTGCAGAGACTGATAGGAATGGTCTCTGCCCTGCGCTGAATGCAGGAGAATAGGTCTCCATAGCGATATCCATTGATATTCGGAATACGACGGATCGCGGTTCTGCAGCTGATGAAATATTCTAATTACCGCGAGCAAATAATATCCAGACAGGCCCTGAACTTGGAGGTGAAGTTAACTCCTTGACATTGCACGACGGACCCGGATGACATCTGGTGTCTGCCGACTCGCTGCACGGCTGGGGTGGATTGACGGATGCTGGGAGTTGTAGTTCTTCAGCTAATGAAGTGGTAATGGTTCCCATTAGTCCAGGGATAGACAACCTGAGAGCCGCAGGACTACAAGTTCCATCATGCCTCTGCAAGTCATAGCTGTAACTGTCAGATTTGTAATGTTGCAATGCCTCATGGGAAATGTAGTTCCACAGCAGCTAGAGAGCCGCAGGTTGCCTACCTCTGCATTAGCCGGTGTGGGGAAACGTCTCGGGGTCTCTCGGGGGAACCAACCCAAACCGTCTGCTTTTTTGGTGAAGCCTCCCCTCTGGCGGGGTTCTGTTTCATGCGGAATATCTGCGGACTTTTATTGGCTGCCTTACCCTGCTCTGCACATGCCCAGTTCATCTCTATGTGTTGGCTCCATGCCGCGTTTGTAGAGGCCGATCTGCTGGCAGCCTAAAGATTTACTGCTGCTCAGGGGGCTCTGGGCTTCAGCAAAATGGCCGCCTCCAGCAGGAGCCATGCTGGAGGCCGTTTACAACGCACGCTCATTTTGGTCGCAGGATTGATAATATGGAATGTTCATTCCTGAAGAACATTATTCTGCTTTAGGGGCCATTCAAAGCGCAGCCGCCGGTGTGCGCAGCAAGAGGCAGCGATGAAAATGCGCTGATCGCTCTTTGGAAATGTCGCACTTTTCATTGCATCCCATTGGCCGCAGAGCGGTGCGATGAGTTGGATTGCGCCGCCCCCGCGCTGTGCTGAAGTTCTGCACGCCGTACGTTTTTCAGTGTTCGCCACCACAGGGGCTGATCTGTGTCAAACGTGTAAGCAGAAAAACAAGCCGGTTGGATCGATCTCTCTAGCGTTCCGGTAGTCCCGGCTAATCCCAGCCCTGTGACCCGTCAATCTGCGGGGGGCGAGGACCTGTCTCTAATGATCATATTTGCGCCCGGGTCGCATTTCCACCCGACCAGCCAGTCGGCGGACGCCTGTGTAAGACGGATAACGTGACATCTAGGTGAAGACGAAGAATTTTCTGTGCTTAACCCGACACTGACTGACCCCCCCCCCCCCACCCCCTTTTTCCTTCAGCCCCAGTTTACTCGGCTTCGTCTCCCCACCTGGCCAGCTCCTGACGGATGGCCCCGGAGATGGGCGAGATGAATCTGCGGGCCCCCGGCGGGCGTCTGTCACAGTTAAACATGATAAATGTATGAGGTGAGCAGGGAGCGGCCTGCAGCATCCCCCGCTTAATGGATACGTCTTCTCCCGGACGTGTGCGCACCGCGCTCTGATCCTGTGCTAATCTCGCCGCTCGGGGACGCCGGGCGAATGACAACTAGGAAATGGCCGTGACAACATTCTGTAGCTGAAAGATTCTTCACCAAATGCCATCGCACAGGTGCCGCTGACAAGCGCTTGATTAAATAGGGAGGTAGGGAGGACAGGGTGGCGGAACGTGTCGGGGGCGCCAAGAGATGGATCATTTCATTTCTAAGTATTTATTAGCATGTTCACAGTGAAGGCAGGGGGGGGGGGGGGAGGGGACACATCACAGGGTCCCTGCTTGGGGGCCCTATAAACAAGACATCGACTTCTCCCCGCATAATGGCAAAAGATTGCGGCGTATCGACCAAAAGTGGAACTATCTGAGAGCAGAAAATAAATAGAAAAATTGTCCGCTTGTATAAAGTGCGATCCGTTACGGCTTACCATCACTTTATTATTTATTAGTTGTTATGTTATTTAATATTTGTTTTTTTCATTTTATTGATTTATTTATTTACTTACTATTATTCATTACTTTATTTTGGTTGTTTTATTACTATTTTTTATTTTTTTATATTATTTATTTTTTTTATTCTTTATGTTTTCATTTTATTTATTTATTACTTGTTATTTACTATTATGCATTACTTTATTTTAGTTATGTTTTATTATTATTATTATTATTATTATTATTATTTATTTATTTTATTTACTATTTATGTTTTTTTTTACTTTTTATTATATTTATTATTATAATTATTATTATTATTTGTAATTTTAATATTACTTTATTTTAGTTATGTTTTATTATTATTATTTATTTTATTTACTATTATTCAATACTTTATTTTACTTATGTTTTATTATTATTATTTATTTATTTTATTTACTATTTTATGTATTTTTTTTACTTTTATTATATTTATTATTATAGTTATTATTATTTGTAATTTAATGTTTACTTTATTTCAGTTAGGTATTATTATCTGTTATTTATTTACTATTATTCAATACTTTATTTTAGTTATGTTTTATTAAAAAATTTTAATTTAGATTATTATTTATTTTATTTATTCTTTATGTTTTCATTTTATTTATTTATTATTTGTTATTTACTATTATTCATGACATTATTTGAGGTATTTTTATTATTATAATTATTATTATTTATTATTATTTTTTTACATTTATTTTATTTATTATTTATGTATTATTTGCTTTAGGTATTATTATTTGTTATTTATTTGCTATTATTCATTACTTTATTTTAGTTATGTTTTATTACTATTTTTTTTTTTTATTATTTTTATTTATTTTATTTATTATTCATGTTTTCATTTTATTTATTTATTATTTGTTATTTAAAATTATTCATTAATTTATTTTAGTTATTTTTTATTGTTATTATTATTATCGTTATTATTATGTAATTTTATTTTTTACATTTATTTTATTTTTATTATTTTGTATTGTTTTTTTTTTTTTTATTATTATTATTATCATTATTATTATTTGTCATTTTAATATTACTTTATTTCAGTTAGGTATTATTTGTTATTATATTATTTATTTAAAATTATATTTATTATATGTATTATTATTAATTTATTACTTTATTTTTAGTTAGGTATCATTATTTGTTATTTATTGTATTATTTATTTGTTTTATTTTATTTTTTATATATATATATATATATATATATATATATATTTTAGTATTATTTTTATTATTACTATTATTATTATTAGTTGTTTATTATTTTAGTTTAGTTAGGTATTATTTACTGTTATTTGCTATTTATTGTTTATTTTATTCATGTGTTATTATTTGTTCTGTATGTTTATACTATTATTTATTTATTGTTTATTATTACTGGACTTTAATGACCTTGTTATAGAAGGATGAATACGGATATATGGTCACAGACCTGCCCCCGCTGATCTCTCACATACCCGCCCCCGCTGATCTCTCACATACCCGCCCCCGCTGATCTCTCACATACCCGCCCCGGCTGATCTCTCACATACCCGCCCCGGCTGATCTCTCACATACCCGCCCCCGCTGATCTCTCACATACCCGCCCCGGCTGATCTCTTACATACCCGCCCCCGCTGATCTCTCACATACCCGCCCCCGCTGATCTCTCACATACCCGCCCCCGCTGATCTCTCACATACCCGCCCCCCGCCCCCGCTGATCTCTCACATACCCGCCCCGGCTGATCTCTCACATACCCGCCCCCGCTGATCTCTCACATACCCGCCCCCCGCTGATCTCTCACAGACGTTTTTTTTCCATCTTGTGTTTTAAAATTTATTCTGCTGATATTTTTCCTTCTTAAATATGTCTTCATTACAGACCTTATTTTAATCCCAGTAAGCTCATCACTGGTTCTCTGTGCTTCTCTATGCAATGCAAGCAGATCATGGCTGGTGGGAGCTGCCGGCAGTGTAATCCTATCAAGAGCCCTCATTCCCGTGTAAGCAGTGGGAGGAGTTATGCAAAAGTGAAAATGCCTTGATGGGTGAGGGTCAGTCTAGAGGAGTGGGTGTTCCCAGGCAGGCTGTATTTGCATAGGTAACGCCCACATGTGATGCTGAGCATCTATGATTGAAAGAACTGACATCCAATGAATGAAAGGGGCGGGGCCAGGGACAGTCAGGCTGGGGAGGATGACAATGGACGGCCACCAGCTCTATCTGACTGGTTGCAGCTTCTAAAGCTTCTGTGAGACACTCCCAGTGTGTGGTGACATCAGAGGAAGCCGTCCAGTCCAGGGGAGGAGCCAGTACACCTGTTCAAGACTGAAGGGGAGGAGCCGGTACACCTGTGCAAGACTGAGAGGAGCCGGTACACCTGTGCAAGACTGAAGGGGAGGAGCCGGTACACCTGTGCAAGACTGAAGGGGAGGAGCCGGTACACCTGCGCAAGACTGAAGGGGAGGAGCCGGTACACCTGTGCAAGACTGAGAGGAGCCGGTACACCTGTGCAAGACTGAAGGGGAGGAGCCGGTACACCTGTGCAAGACTGAAGGGGAGGAGCAGGTACACCTGCGCAAGACTGAAGGGGAGGAGCCGGTACACCTGTGCAGGACTGAAGGGGAGGATCCGGTACACCTGTGCAAGACTGAAGGGGAGGAGCCAGTACACCTGCGCAAGACTGGAGGGGAGGAGCCGGTACACCTGCGTAAGACTGAAGGGGAGGAGCCGGTACACCTGTGCAAGACTGAAGGGGAGGAGCCGGCACACCTGTGCAAGACTGAAGGGGAGGAGCCGGTACACCTGCGCAAGACTGGAGGGGAGGAGCCGGTACACCTGCGCAAGACTGAAGGGGAGGAGCCGGTACACCTGTGCAAGACTGAAGGGGAGGAGCCGGCACACCTGTGCAAGACTGAAGGGGAGGAGCTGGTACACCTGTGCAAGACTGAATGAGAGGAGCCGGTACACCTGTGCAAGACTGAAGGGGAGGAGCCGGTACACCTGTGCAAGACTGAAGGGGAGGAGCCGGTACACCTGTGCAAGACTGAAGGGGAGGAGCCGGTACACCTGTGCAAGACTGAAGGGGAGGAGCCGGTACACCTGTGCAAGACTGAAGGGGAGGAGCCGGTACACCTGTGCAAGACTGAAGGGGAGGAGCCGTGAGACAACAAAGAAATCACTTTTACTCTCAGTGTGTTGTGGTGTCATTGCTGAGTGATTATTTATTGAAAATTAGCTTTATGTTTAAATTTCTGACTCTGCAGGAGAAGTCGCTGGCTCTGGGCTTTGTGGTGGGAGGCTGAGATGAGGTCACCAGTCTGCTGCAGGCAGGAGGAGGCATTTCCTCAGTCTCCCCCTCCCCCAGTGATCAGACTATACATTGTAACTTTGTAGAAGGAGGAGGAGTCATTTCCTCAGTCTCTCCTCCCCCAGTGATCAGACTGTACATTGTAACTTTGCAGAAGGAGGAGGAATCATTTCCTCAGTCTCCCCTCCCCCAGTGATCAGACTGTACATTGTAACTTTGCAGCAGGGGGCTGATCTGTGTCAGACATTTGTGAACACGGCCACACAATAGCTGTACAGAAGATGAGATTACAATATTCATCTGCGCTGTCAGCCATATTGGTTGGATGGCGGTGTAGATGTGACAGTTAGCAGTTTATTCTGCCCCCGGGCCATGACATGTTGCCCCCCCCCCCCGGCCGTGACATGTTGCCCCCCCCCCGGGCCGTGACATGTGCCGTCCCCCCCGGGCCGTGACAGGTGCCCCCCCCCGGGCCGTGACATGTTGCCCCTCCCGGGCCGTGCCATGTCGCCCCCCCAGGCCCTGACATGTCGCCCCTCCATGCCCTGACATGTCACCCCCCCCCCCCCCCCCCCCCCCGTGTCCTCGGTTCTCCTCCCTCCTGACATCTCACATTCGCGGCGTCTCTATGATCGCCATGTCAGACATTTTCCACTGTTTGTAATGGAAGTTTATTGGAATTGAGTGTGAAAAAAAAATGTTGTCTCCGTTGGCGTCCTCCATGCAGCTGGCGCAGACGCGGCCCCGGTGGGGGGGGGGGGGGGAGGGGGGCACTGGCCGCCATATGTCGCCGCGCACAGCTGCTCGCCGCCTTCCAGCCATGCAGGTGGAGCTGGGAGCCGACCAGAAGCAGGTGACTTCATTAAGCAGCCCCCCCCCGTTACTTCAAAGGGGGCCCCCTTATTACAGGTGGCACATTCCGGACATGGCGGGGGGGGGGGGCGCGGCTGCTGAGACGCCATTTAGTGCGCACTTATTACCAGAGCATTAATAACGGGGAAAAGTGCGTCATGAAAGACATCTGTGAGCGTCGGCCGAGCCGCTCCGCCGGGATAATCACCAATAAATACCGACCACAATAACTGGTCAGATTTTACGGCTTAATGACCTGCAGGACGCGCCGCCAGCCCCTCCCCACGCCGCTGACGGAAAATCCCGTATTTGTCATTCGTTATGGGGAATGGGCGGCTGAGCTCACTCCTCCTCCATCAACTGCTCAGAAATACCGCGCCCCCCCCCCCATGGAACAAATAGAACCTACAAGAGGAGGGCGCTGGGCGGCATGCACACTGATCCCCCTCCGCCACATCCGCACCAGACCCGCCAACCGCCATTGGTGAACCAATCAGAGCTGAAGACTAATCTGTAATATTTCACCTTCCCTGATCCCTCCCTCCCCCGCCACCCCCATCAATAGGATCATCAGATTATTCAATCAATCCTTTCCGTTTTCATTACGCACCTTCATTTATACCCAGTGATGTCATCACTGGGGCTCTGTGCTTCTCTATGCAATGTAGGCAGACCTTGGCTGGTGGGAGGGGCAGGCGGGGTGCTTCCAGAAAACATCACAGCACCCTGCCTCAGTACTCCTCCCAGCCCTGATGCAAGAAGTGGGAGGAGTTATGCAAATATCACAGATCTACTTTATGGATCTGTGAATAAATTCTGCTTCATATAAACCCAGATATAGATATCCCGGATATACAATGTATCGCTGTGTCTCTATATCCCGGGTATACAATGTATCGCTGTGTCTCTATATCCTGGATATACAATGTATCGCTGTGTCTCTATATCCGGGTATACAATGTATCGCTGTGTCTCCAGATCCCGGGTATACAATGTATCGCTGTGTCTCTATATCCCGGATATACAATGTATCGCTGTGTCTCTATATCCCGGGTGTACAATGTATCGCTGTGTCTCTATATCCCGGATATACAATGTATCGCTGTGTCTCCGTATCCCGGATATACAATGTATCGCTGTGTCTCCGTATCCCGGATATACAATGTATCGCTGTGTCTCCGTATCCCGGATATACAATGTATCGCTGTGTCTCCAGATCCCGGGTATACAATGTATCGCTGTGTCTCTATATCCCGGATATACAATGTATCGCTGCGTCTCTATATCCCGGGTGTACAATGTATCGCTGTGTCTCTATATCCCGGATATACAATGTATCGCTGTGTCTCCGTATCCCGGATATACAATGTATCGCTGTGTCTCTATATCCCGGGTATACAATGTATCGCTGTGTCTCCAGATCCCGGGTATACAATGTATCGCTGTGTCTCCAGATCCCGGGTATACAATGTATCGCTGTGTCTCTATATCCCGGGTATACAATGTATCGCTGTGTCTCTATATCCCGGGTGTACAATGTATCGCTGTGTCTCTGTATCCGGATATACAATGTATCGCTGTGTCTCCGTATCCCGGGTATACAATGTATCGCTGTGTCTCCGTATCCCGGATATACAATGTATCGCTGTGTCTCCGTATCCCGGGTATACAATGTATCGCTGTGTCTCTATATCCGGGTATACAATGTATCGCTGTGTCTCCGTATCCCGGATATACAATGTATCGCCGTGTCTCCGTATCCCGGGTATACAATGTATCGCTGCGTCTCCATATCCCGGGTATACAATGTATCGCTGCGTCTCCGTATCCCGGGTATACAATGTATCGCTGTGTCTCCGTATCCCGGGTATACAAAGTATCGCTGTGTCTCCATATCCCGGGTATACAATGTATCGCTGCGTCTCCATATCCCGGATATACAATGTATCGCTGCGTCTCTATATCCCGGATATACAATGTATCGCTGCGTCTCCATATCCCGGATATACAATGTATCGCTGCGTCTCTATATCCCGGGTATACAATGTATCGCTGTGTCTCCATATCCCGGTATACAATGTATCGCTGTGTCTCCATATCCCGGGTATACAATGTATCGCTGTGTCTCCATATCCCGGGTATACAATGTATCGCTGTGTCTCCATATCCCGGGTATACAATGTATCGCTGTGTCTCCATATCCCGGGTATACAATGTATCGCTGTGTCTCTATATCCCGGGTATACAATGTATCGCTGTGTCTCCATATCCCGGGTATACAATGTATCGCTGTGTCTCCATATCCCGGGTATACAATGTATCGCTGTGTCTCCATATCCCGGGTATACAATGTATCGCTGTGTCTCTATATCCCGGGTATACAATATATCGCTGTGTATCTATATCCCGGGTATACAATGTATCGCTGTGTCTCCGTATCCCGGGTATACAATGTATCGCTGTGTCTCTATATCCCGGGTATACAATGTATCGCTGTGTCTCTATATCCCGGGTATACAATGTATCGCTGTGTCTCTATATCCCGGGTATACAATGTATCGCTGTGTCTCCATATCCCGGGTATACAATGTATCGCTGTGTCTCCATATCCCGGGTATACAATGTATCGCTGTGTCTCCATATCCCGGGTATACAATGTATCGCTGTGTCTCTATATCCCGGGTATACAATGTATCGCTGTGTCTCCATATCCCGGGTATACAATGTATCTCTGTGTCTCCATATCCCGGGTATACAATGTATCGCTGTGTCTCTATATCCCGGGTATACAATGTATCGCTGTGTCTCTATATCCCGGGTATACAATGTATCGCTGTGTATCTATATCCCGGGTATACAATGTATCGCTGTGTCTCCATATCCCGGGTATACAATGTATCTCTGTGTCTCCATATCCCGGGTATACAATGTATCGCTGTGTCTCTATATCCGGGTATACAATGTATCGCTGTGTCTCTATATCCCGGGTATACAATGTATCGCTGTGTCTCCATATCCCGGGTATACAATGTATCGCTGTGTCTCCATATCCCGGGTATACAATGTATCGCTGTGTCTCCATATCCCGGGTATACAATGTATCGCTGTGTCTCTATATCCCGGGTATACAATGTATCGCTGTGTCTCCATATCCCGGGTATACAATGTATCGCTGTGTCTCCATATCCCGGGTATACAATGTATCGCTGTGTCTCTATATCCCGGGTATACAATGTATCGCTGTGTCTCCATATCCCGGGTATACAATGTATCACTGTGTCTCTATATCCCGGGTATACAATGTATCGCTGTGTATCTATATCCCGGGTGTCTCTATCTGGCATTTCTTCGGTATGATTGCAGATTTCTGGACGAAGTTCTAAGAACGAACAATTCCGGCTGGAGCGCTGCGGGGGAGCAGCAGAGGATGGGCGGCCCCCGGGACCAGCATCCCCCACACCTGGGTTTTTAGCGATTATTTCTGGACAAATTGGCCCTTTGACCGGGGCCCCTGCGTGCTGACAGGCGGTATTATTACTCGTCAGTCGGTGGGATCAGCGCGGCTCTGAACACAATTCCAAAGTTCTGGTTTTCATCAATAACTAATGTGTCATAATTTATCGCCGGCTCCCCGCCGCCCCCCCCCCCCCCCCCCCCCGCCGCCTCGACCGCACTATTCCCGCCTGGTATTAATATGTCCAACACATCGTCCGACTACTACACTGCGACACCCCACCCCTCCCCCACCTAAAGGGGACCTGTCATCAGGGCAGCATGAACCCCCCAGTGATAGAGGGATCGGGACCACTCCTTCCTCCTGCCGGTGACCCCTCTAGTGATAGGATCTATATAGAGGAATCAGGACCTCCTTCCTCCTGCCGGTGACCCCTCTAGTGATATAAAGATCTATATAGAGGAATCAGGACCTCCTTCCTCCTGCCGGTGACCCCTCTAGTGATAGGATCTATATAGAGGAATCAGGACCTCCTTCCTCCTGCTGGTGACCCCTCTAGTGATAGGATCTATATAGAGGAATCAGGACCTCCTTCCTCCTGCTGGTGACCCCTCTAGTGATATAAAAATCTATATAGAGGAATCAGGACCTCCTTCCTCCCGCCGGTGACCCCTCTAGTGATAAGATCTATATAGAGGAATCAGGACCTCCTTCCTCCTGCCGGTGACCCCTCTACTGATATAAAGATCTATATAGAGGAATCAGGACCTCCTTCCTCCTGCCGGTGACCCCTCTAGTGATAGGATCTATATAGAGGAATCAGGACCTCCTTCCTCCCGCCGGTGACCCCTCTAGTGATATAAGGATCTATATAGAGGAATCAGGACCTCCTTCCTCCTGCTGGTGACCCCTCTAGTGATAGATCTATATAGAGGAATCAGGAGCTCCTTCCTCCCGCCGGTGACCCCTCTAGTGATAGGATCTATATAGAGGGATCAGGACCTCCTTCCTCCTGCCGGTGACCCCTCTAGTGATAGATCTATATAGAGGAATCAGGACCTCCTTCCTTCCGCCGGTGACCCCTCTAGTGATAGGATCTATATAGAGGGATCAGGACCTCCTTCCTCCTGCTGGTGACCCCTCTAGTGATATAAAGATCTATATAGATGAATCAGGACCTCCTTCCTCCTGCCGGTGACCCCTCTAGTGATAGATCTATATAGAGGAATCAGGACCTCCTTCCTCCCGCCGGTGACCCCTCTAGTGATATGATCTATATAGAGGGATCAGGACCTCCTTCCTCCTGCCGGTGACCCCTCTAGTGACATAAAGATCTATATAGAGGAATCAGGACCTCCTTCCTCCTGCCGTGACCCCTCTAGTGATATAAAGATCTATATAGAGGAATCGGGACCTCCTTCCTCCTGCCGGTGACCCCTCTAGTGATAGGATCTATATAGAGGAATCGGGACCTCCTTCCTCCTGCCGGTGACCCCTCTAGTGATATAAAGAATCTATATAGAGGAATCAGGACCTCCTTCCTCCTGCCGGTGACCCCTCTAGTGATAAGATCTACATAGAGGGATCGGGACCCTCCTTCCTCCTGCCGGTGACCCCTCTAGTGATAGGATCTATATAGAGGGATCGGGACCTCCTTCCTCCTCCTTCTAGTGATGCTCTCAGGATTCTGTCACCTTTCCTCGAGGTTCGCTCATTTTGCAATCATCTGTAATAAGCTCCTCCTGCAATCCCCCAAATTGGTTCAAAAAATATAAACCGCCCGGCCTCTCCTGTATCCAGAACAAGTGGTGACACTGCAGCATGCTGCGCAGAGGGAAGGTAGTGCGCCGAGCGGCCCCCCCCGCGGGGGCTTGTATTGGCCTTATAAAAGTGAAGTGGTAAGAGGCCCAGCTGCTGTAATAAAGCGTGTCTGAGTGCTCAGAGATTTCATCTCGAGGTGGAGGGACAGATAGGTGGGGTGGTGGGAAGGGGGGTATACATGGGGCGGAGGTGGTCACCTGCACCAAAGCCCCCCACAGCTAATTAATGATTTGCCTGCTGGGGGGGGGGGGGGGGTGCCATGTGCAAGAAAAGAAGGCGATACGTATTCCGTGTGAAATGATGGAAATCTCAGCAGACGAGTGTTTCCAATTATTAGTCTGGAATCACCAACTTTTAGACGTCCGGCAGGAACTGGATTGGGGGAGATGGGTGGTCTTTACACTCTGTATACTGCGCTCCTGTATACAATATGCTGCTCTTGTATACAATATGCTGCTCCTGTATACACTATGCTGCTCGTGTATACAATATGCTGCTCCTGTATACACTATGCTGCTCCTGTATACACTATGCTGCTCCTGTATACAATATGCTGCTCGTGTATACAATATGCTGCTCCTGTATACAATATGCTGCTCCTGTATACACTGTGCTGCTCCTGTATATATATTATGCTGCTCCTGTATACAATATGCTGCTCCTGTATACAATATGCAGCTCGTGTATACAATATGCTGCTCCTGTATACAATATGCTGCTCCTGTATACAATATGCTGCTCGTGTATACAATATGCTGCTCCTGTATACACTGTGCTGCTCCTGTATATATATTATGCTGCTCCTGTATACACTATGCTGCTCCTGTATACAATATGCTGCTCCTGTATACACTATGCTGCTCCTGTATACAATATGCTGCTGCTCGTGTATACAATATGCTGCTCCTGTATACACTATGCTGCTCCTGTATATACACTATGCTGCTCCTGTATACAATATGCTGCTCGTGTATATACACTATGCTGCTCCTGTATACACTATGCTGCTCGTGTATACAATATGCTGCTCCTGTATACACTGTGCTGCTCCTGTATATACACTATGCTGCTCCTGTATACAATATGCTGCTCGTGTATACACTATGCTGCTCCTGTATACACTATGCTGCTCCTGTATACATTATGGCGTTCCTGTATATACACTATGGCGCTCCTATATATACATTATGGCGTTCCCTATATATACATTATGGCGCTTCTGTATACATTATGGCGCTCCTATATATACATTATGGCGCTCCTATATATACATTATGGCGCTCCTGTATATACATTATGGCGCTCCTGTATACATTATGGCGCTCCTGTATATACATTATGGCGCTCCTGTATACATTATGGTGCTCCTGTATATACATTATGGCGCTCCTGTATACATTATGGCGCTCCTATATATACATTATGGCGCTCCTATATATATATTATGGCGCTCCTATATATACACTATGGCATTTCTATATCCAGTACAAACTCCATGCACCTTTCTCAGTGCACTTTGGCATGTTAGGCGACGCGCCCCTCACTGCGCCTCAACAGTCTGAACCCAGCAAGACGCAGCCAATGCTTTCCTGGTAGCGGGCCGGAGCGACGCATTTCCTCGCCGACATCTCGCCGCCGCAGTGCAAACGACTTACTACAGCAACACGTTGGCATTCCCCCTGGCGGGGCCCTATTACAGGACGGCAGCGGAAGTCTGCCAGTAAAAAGACAATTATGGGGGTCAGCAGAGGGAGCGGCAGTATAAAAATCCGCCTCGGAGCCTTTTATTGTGTCTTCTTCCCGAGGAGCAGAGGGGAGTGTGCGCGGCTCTACCGAGAGGCCTCTCGTCTGAAGATCAATTAGCATCAATTACCGACTTCATTTAATTGTCGTAGAAGATGAATTTGTCATTTTTAGTCTTGAATTAATGGCAGACCTTCAACTTTCCTTTGGCAGAACCATCCGGACCTCGAGCGCACAGAGCTGGCGGGGGAGAGGAGGATGGAGATGTGACAGGGAAGATGGGACGAGTAATGGGCGGCAGAGAAAGACATTTCCATGGAGACCAACTGCCGCAAAACGAGCAGCTAGACTTTACCCGCACAGGGACTACCTGGGGGGGGGCGTATCCAGTACCAGACATCCTTACAAACCACTATATGTCTTCCCACCTGATAGATGATAGGGCAGTGCGGGGAACATACCTTATCTTAGACCCGGTGATGTCATCACCAGCTCTCTGTGCTTCTCTATGCAATGAAGGCATATCATGGCTGGTGGGTGGGGCCAGCAGGGTGCTGTACATAACTTCCTGAACACATCACAGCCTTCATCAGTATTCCTCCCAAGAGCCCTCATTCCTGATGCAAGCAGTGGGAGGAGTTATGAAAATATTAAAATGCTTTGATGGTTGGGTGTCCGGAGGAGTGGGCGTTCCTTGGCAGGGTGTATTTACAGAGGTAACGTTCACATGTGATTCTGAGCCTCCATGGAACTGAAGTCCAAAAAATGAAAGGAGCCAGGGACAGTCAGGCTGGGGAGGAAGGAGCTAGATGATGCTTGATGTCCCCCACCCAGGAAATTAGGCCGAGCTCTGACTGGCTGCAGATTCTAAAACACATTGTGAGAAGCTCCCAGTGTGCAGTGACATCAGAGGAAGCCGTCCAGTCCAGGGGAGGAGTCAGTACACCTGTGCAAGACTGAAGGGGAGGAGCCGTACACCTGTGCAAGACTGAAGGGGAGGAGCTGGTACACCTGTGCAAGACTGAAGGGGAGGAGCCGTACACCTGTGCAAGACTGAAGGGGAGGAGCCGGGACACCTGTGCAAGACTGAAGGGGAGGAGCCGGGACACCTGTGCAAGACTGAAGGGGAGGAGCCGTACACCTGTGCAAGACTGAAGGGGAGGAGCCGGGACACCTGTGCAAGACTGAAGGGGAGGAGGCGATACACCTGTCCAAGACTGGAGGGGAGGAGCCGTACACCTGTACAAGACTAAAGGGGAGGAGGCGGTACACCTGTGCAAGATAAAAGAGGAGGAGCCAGTACACCTGTGCAAGACGAAAGAGGAGGAGCCGGTACACCTGTGCAAAACTGGAGGGGAGGAGCCGGTACACCTGTGCAAGACTGAAGGGGAGGAGCTGATATACACCTGTGCAAGACTGAAGGGGAGGAGCCGGTACACCTGTGCAAGGATGAAGGGGAGGAGCCGGTACACCTGTGCAAGGATGAAGGGGAGGAGTCGTACACCTGTGCAAGACTGAAGGGGAGGAGCCGTACACCTGTACAAGACTAAAGGGGAGGAGCCAATACACCTGTGCAAGATAAAAGAGGAGGAGCCGGTACACCTGTGCAAGACAAAAGAGGAGGAGCCGGTACACCTGTGCAAAACTGAAGGGGAGGAGCCGGTACACCTGTGCAAGACTGAAGGGGAGGAGCTGATATACACCTGTGCAAGACTGAAGGGGAGGAGCCGGTACACCTGTGCAAGGATGAAGGGGAGGAGCCGGTACACCTGTGCAAGGATGAAGGGGAGGAGCCGGTACGCCTGTGCAAGACTGAAGGGGAGGAGCCGACACACCTGAGCAAGACTGAAGGGGAGGAGCAGGTACACCTGTACAAGACTGAAGGGGGGAGGAGCCAGTACACCTGTGCAAGGATGAAGGGGAGGAGCTGGTACACCTGTGCAAAACTGAAGGGGAGGCCAGAGGAACGATTTAATGTATTCCTCCAGTAGACAATGTGGAGTAATATGTGAGATCGGTCATACATTCAAATTAGAGTTCTCTATAGTACAGGGGATTGCCCTGCTCTGCTCCTGCATGAGCTGCACTGTTGACAATGGCTGGGAAGGGCGCATAGTTTGTAGGGGGTGAGGGTTACTGTGCTGCCAAATAGCTGCTTCTAGAATAAAGAATAAAAGGTGAGATAACTTTAAATAGAAATCTCCATAAAGAAATATGGCAGAAAAACTGCAGTGAACTAGTTGGCTGCGATTGTACATTTATCGCCATATTCCCAATCCTCCAATCCTGGAATCGGGGTGCAGGGATCGTCTCCTGCGGTTGGTCGGTTTTTCTCCTCCGGAGAAGGATGAGATGTCATTCCTACAAATTACACTTATCAGGCAAACATCACACTGAGGATGTCCCTGCGGGCCGCAGTGTCAGCACATTGTGTCTATGGGGATGGTGGGGGGGGTCTGTGTGTGGCGGGCAATGGGCAGCTGGGATGAGCCGTCTGGGCGGAGCCCCTCCTAGAGGGAGAAGTGACAGCTCGGTGCCCATCAATCACCCATCCCCAGATCTTTGGCAGAAAATGAGTTTTGACTCACAGGGGAGAATACAGCAAATTAATAGACCATTACCCAATCTGTGACCTGAGAAATGTGCGCGAGGGGCGAGCCGGGGGGGACGCACGGGGGATCCTGGTAACTCTTCACTGCCTGCCGCCAAACGCTGAGCCGCGGGACAAAACCGGACTCATTCCTGATCGCTACATTGTAACAATATTCTATTATTATATTCCTATTTGTATTCTTCTATAGTCCTGATAAAGGGAACACAGAGCCAGTCCCAGCAGTCTGTACCAGAGGAGCTTACACTCTAATGTCCCCTCCCCCACAGTCCCAGCAGTCTGTACCAGAGGAGCTTACACTCTAATGTCCCCTCCCCCAAAGTCCCATCAGTCTCTGTACCGGAGGAGCTTACACTCTAATGTCCCCTCCCCCATAGTCCCAGCAGTCACTGTACCGGAGGAGCTTACACTCTAATGTCCCCTCCCCCCCCAGTCCTATCAGTCTGTACCAGAGGAGCTTACACTCTAATGTCCCCTCCCCCACAGTCCCATCAGTCCCTGTACTGGAGGAGCTTACACTCTAATGTCCCCTCCCCCACAGTCCCATCAGTCTCTGTACCAGAGGAGCTTACACTCTAATGTCCCCTCCCCCACAGTCACATCAGTCTCTGTACCAGAGGAGCTTACACTCTAATGTCCCCTCCCCCATAGTCCCATCAGTCTGTACCAGAGGAGCTTACACTCTAATGTCCCCTCCCCCACAGTCCCATCAGTCTCTGTACAGAGGAGCTTACACTCTAATGTCCCCTCCCCCACAGTCCCATCAGTCTCTGTACAGAGGAGCTTACACTCTAATGTCCCCTCCCCCACAGTCCCATCAGTCTCTGTACAGAGGAACTGACACTCTAATGTCCCCTCCCCCACAGTCCCATCAGTCTCTGTACAAAGGAGCTGACACTCTAATGTCCCCTCCCCCCCAGTCACACACTATTATACATTTATATAGCTCTGACATAAACTGATAAATACAAGTGTCATTTGTAGATTTAAATCCTTTTTTCTCCTTCATTTCAGTGTTGCTGATCTCCTGCAGCCTCTTTGCAGCCGCCTCCAGCCTCCATGCACTCCAGCGACGGCTCCGTGGCATTTCTCAGCGCAGGTTTCCGGATGATGACAAAGCTGTACTATGCGAGTCGAAATGGCCGCTCGCAATCGCCGCCAGAAGCCCGTGTGACAGGGTGACAACGCAAGAGCACCATTGGGAGGCGGGGACAGAGTGTTGTCACCCTATAACAGGAAGTGCCTAAACAAGGACCTCCGTGGCGGGATCATTTCAGGAAAGCTGCAGATTTCTGAAGGTCGGTGATGACGTTTGAAGTGAGGTGACCACGCCGCGCCCTCTCGGAGACACGTTGGCGATCGCCGTCTCATCTCCTTCCTATAATAAATGGTCGGGTGAAGTGGCCGTCAGCCCAGAAGCCGCCGCCGCCGCCACCGCCGCTCTCCTCGCCTCCCTCTGCTCAGCGGCGTTCCGCCCGGCTGAGTGTTGGTGTTAATTACGGCGGCCAATTCTCTGTTTGTAGCTTCGATGTTTTAACTAATTACCGCTAATGGCAGACAGCGGCGAGCAACGATCTCCATTTATTATCCATCCGAACGGAACTCATTAGCCGGCAGCTCTGGTGAGATCAGCTGGGGGGGGCGATAACGAGTTTATTGTTGGTGAGATCAGACAAAGCCGGGAGATTCACGTCTGTGGGTCGCAGGAACGCACGCAAAATCACGCATCTTCACGCAACGCACAAAAAAAGCGCATTCCTTTGGCGAGTGTGAGAAGCTGCCATTCATTCTTAATGACACTCCAATGCGTGAAAACAAGCGCCGTGCGTTTTTGTAAAAATTGAGGGTCGCTGCGCTCTGCGTTTTTCATGCATTGAAATTAATGGACCGCTCTAAATGTGACGCGCAAAAATGTGCGCACAATAACGCGTGAAAAGGAACTACTGCAACGCCACCACACACAGCCCAATGCCAACCGAAGACGTCGCCAATCATTGCTGGAATCCCCACCACACGCAGCCCAACGCCAACCGAAGACGTCACCAATCATTGCCGGAATCCCCACCACACGCAGCCTAACGCCAAACCGAAGACGTCGCCAATCATTGCCGGAATCCCCACCACACACAGCCCAATGCCAACCGAAGACGTCACCAGTCATTGCTGGAATCCCCACCACACACAGCCCAATGCCAACCGAAGACGTCACCAATCATTGCCGGAATCCCCACCACACACAGCCCAATGCCAACCGAAGACGTCGCCAATCATTGCTGGAATCCCCACCACACGCAGCCCAACGCCAACCGAAGACGTCGCCAATCATTGCCGGAATCCCTCCCACACGCAGCCCAACGCCAACCGAAGACGTCGCCAATCATTGCCGGAATCCCCACCACACGCAGCCCAACGCCAACCGAAGACGTCGCCAATCATTGCCGGAATCCCCACCACACGCAGCCCAACGCCAACCGAAGACGTCGCCAATCATTGCCGGAATCCCCACCACACACAGCCCAATGCCAACCGAAGACGTCGCCAATCATTGCCGGAATCCCTCCACACGCAGCCCAATGCCAACCGAAGACGTCGCCAATCATTGCCGGAATCCCCACTACACGCAGCCCAATGCCAACCGAAGATGTCGCCAATCATTGCCGGAATCCCTCCACACGCAGCCCAATGCCAACCGAAGACGTCGCCAATCATTGACGGAATCCCTCCACACGCAGCCCAATGCCAACCGAAGACGTCGCCAATCATTGCCGGAATCCCTCCACACGCAGCCCAATGCCAACCGAAGACGTCACCAATCAATGCTGGAATCCCCACCACATGCAGCCCAACGCCAACCGAAGACGTCACCAATCATTGCAGGAATCCCCCACCACACACAGCCCAATGCCAACCGAAGACGTCACCAATCATTGCCGGAATCCCCACCACACACAGCCCAATGCCAACCGAAGACGTCACCAATCAATGATGGAATCCCCACCACATGCAGCCCAACGCCAACCGAAGACGTCGCCAATCATTGCCGGAATCCCTCCACACGCAGCCCAATGCCAACCGAAGACGTCGCCAATCATTGCCGGAATCCCCACCACACGCAGCCCAATGCCAACCGAAGACGTCACCAATCATTGCTGGAATCCCCACCACACGCAGCCCAATGCCAACCGAAGACGTCGCCAATCATTGCTGGAATCCCCACCACACGCAGCCCAACGCCAACCGAAGACGTCACCAATCATTGCCGGAATCCCCACCACACACAGCCCAATGCCAACCGAAGACGTCACCAATCAATGATGGAATCCCTCCACACGCAGCCCAATGCCAACCGAAGACGTCACCAATCATTGCCGGAATCCCCACCACATGCAGCCCAACGCCAACCGAAGACGTCGCCAATCATTGCTGGAATCCCCCCACCACACGCAGCCCAATGCCAACCGAAGACGTCGCCAATCATTGCTGGAATCCCCACCACACACAGCCCAATGCCAACCGAAGACGTCACCAATCATTGCCGGAAATCCCACCACACGCAGCCCAATGCCAACCGAAGACGTCGCCAATCATTGCCGGAATCCCCACCACACGCAGCCCAATGCCAACCGAAGACGTCGCCAATCATTGCCGGAATCCCCTCCACACGCAGCCCAATGCCAACCGAAGACGTCGCCAATCATTGCTGGAATCCCCACCACACGCAGCCCAACACCAACCGAAGACGTCGCCAATCATTGCCGGAATCCCCACCACACGCAGCTCAATGCCAACCGAAGACGTCACCAATCATTGCTGGAATCCCCACCACACACAGCCCAATGCCAACCGAAGACGTCACCAATCATTGCCGGAATCCCCACCACACACAGCCCAATGCCAACCGAAGACGTCGCCAATCATTGCCGGAATCCCCTCCACACGCAGCCCAATGCCAACCGAAGACGTCACCAATCATTGCTGGAATCCCCACCACACGCAGCCCAATGCCAACCGAAGACGTCGCCAATCATTGCTGGAATCCCCACCACACACAGCCCAATGCCAACCGAAGACGTCACCAATCATTGCCGGAATCCCCACCACACGCAGCCCAATGCCAACCGAAGACGTCACCAGTCATTGCCGGAATCCCCACCACACGCAGCCCAATGCCAACCGAAGACGTCGCCAATCATTGCTGGAATCCCCACCACACACAGCCCAATGCCAACCGAAGACACCCTTTTTATATGTATATATTATATACTGGGACTCTGTATCCTTCCCACATTGGAGGAGTAAACTCTGCAACCGTTTCCTTCTTCCAACGTAGAAATAATAGTACAAAGCATGGACAGTGTGACCAGTGCTCAGCCAGGGGCCACATCCAATATTAGGGGCCACTATTCAGTATTATAGGCCACTTCAAATATTAGGTGTACCTTGCAGTATTATGGGTACCGTCCAAAATTAAGGGTCCCTTCTAAAATTATGAGGCATCTTCCAATATTAGGGTCACCTTCCAGTATTAGGGGCCACATCCAATATTAGGGGCCACCATTCAATATTATAGGCACCTTCCAATATTAGGGTCACCTTCCAGTATTAGGGGCCACATCCAATATTAGGGGCCAGCATTCAGTATTATAGGCACCTTCCAATATTAGGGTCACCTTCCAGTATTAGGGGCCACATCCAATATTAGGGGCCAGCTTTCAGTATTATAGGCACCTTCCAATATTAGGGTCACCTTCCAGTATTAGGGGCCACATCCAATATTAGGGGCCAGCATTCAGTATTATAGACACCTTCCAATATTAGGGGCCACCTTCCAGTATTAGGGGCCACATCCAATATTAGGGGCCAGCATTCAGTATTATAGGCACCTTCCAATATTAGGGGCCACCTTCCAGTATTAGGGGCCACATCCAATATTAGGGGCCAGCATTCAGTATTATAGACACCTTCCAATATTAGGGGCCACCTTCCAGTATTAGGGGCCACATCCAATATTAGGGGCCAGCATTCAGTATTATAGGCACCTTCCAATATTAGGGGCCACCTTCCAATTATATGGGTCAACTTGCATTATTAGCAGCCATTTTCCAATATTAGGGGGGCGCTATTCAATATTATGGGTCCACCTTCTAATATTAGGGTCACCTTCCAATAATATGGGGCACCTGCCAATATCATGGGCCAACTTCCAATCACAGGGGCACCTTTCAATATTAGGGTCTACATATCAATATCAAGGTCACTTTCCAATATTAGGGGGTCACTTTTCAATAGTAGGGGCCATCTTCCAATTTTATAGCCATCTTCCAAAATGTGGGGCCACCTTCCAATCTAAGGGGCCATCTCACAATATTAATGGGTCTCCTTACGATATTAGTGGTCACTTTACAATCTTAGAGGCCACCTTCCAATATTAGGGGGTCAACTTCCCCACATCACTCTGACCTTGACCACATGCAGGTCCGGAGTGGCCACAAGAGGTGGCAGTACTGTGCCCCCGGGGGAGGGGTGGTTTGGCGGCGTGGAGCTCCTCCCTCTGGATGATGTCACAAGTTCTCCGCAAGGCCGGTACAGAAGCCATTTCAGCATTAAGCCCTCCCGGATTTAGCAGGATGAATCTGTCTCTCCTGCCGTGACACCGTATAAATCCTGACACTGACCGGTGTCAGACAGACTGACAGATCTCATTCCTGGGGGGTACCAGGCCACATCACCCAACATGGATACATCATCTGCCATGATCTGGTCACCAGGAGATGTCAGCGATACAGAGAACATGAGAAACACACGAGACAAACATCTCATCCATGTTCCACCAATACCAAATCATAGAAATCCTGGTGCCTGTGCAGGTTGTAGCAGTGTTGACAAATGCCTGACACAGATCAGCCCCTATTACAGCCCCTCACCTTGTGACATGTTACAATGCCCCGGGAACTCAGCACA